TTTTTTTTTTTTTTTTTTTTTTTTGGGGGGGGGGGGGAGGCAGGGATGGGGGGCTTCTGTTTAACAGACTTAGTCGTTGGTGTTGAGCTAAGACGTATATGACTTAATGGACCGAAACGTCTTACCCCATTCGTTCTTTCTTCCATTTTCTCCTGTTTTCTTTCTTATACACCTTCCTTACTTTGACACCCAACATCAACCTGGACGCTACAATCGGCTTAACATCATAGCAGCTAAAATCAAACAGTCCGTTGTCTACTGGTCACATATGGCAGCTACTGCGAAAAAAGGGCAAAAAAAAAAAGGAATCATTGGTGACGCGCACTGGGCGGCCCGTGCGGTCATGCATTTTTGCAGTATTTCGTGCTGTAATGAGATCCCTCGAAAACCTGGTAACTAGGATTTGCAACATACTGGTCCTCGAAGTTCGGGAAGTTACTTGGACAGGGAACAATCCGCTAAAATTTCATCTTCCCAACTTCTCCCGTTCTAGAGTTAGCAAATTTCCTGCCAAAAAATTTCATGGGTTCATACATGAGAACCACACGTATCTGGGATCTAAATTTGATATCTTTAACTTTTACGGGACCTGGGAACACACTCTTAAAATTTCAGTTCCCAGCTTTCCTGGCTCCCGAGTTAGTCACTTTCCCGCTAAAAAATTTCACGGGACCGTACGTGAGAACTACGCATGCCTGGGCGCTGAATTCGATGATATTAAGTTGTACAAATGCTGGGAACATTCCCTGAAAATTTTAGCCTCCCAACTTTCCTGGTTCCCAAGTTAGCGATCTTTGCGTCAGGAATCCTCACGGGGCCATACACAGGTACAACGCATACCTGGGGCTGAATTTGAAATCGTTGAGTTCCATGTGCATGAACATAACCTCAAAACTTCAGCTTTCTAACTTTTCTGGTTCCTGAGTTACCGATTTTTGCGTGAAGGTTGGTACCGCGGTCCTGGGGTAGCACTTGGCTGGGGAACCCATCAGCAAACTTTTGGCGCCAGAGCTTGCTTGGGTGCCGAGTTGAAATACCCGGACAGACGCGCGCGCACACACACACACGCACACACACACACGCGCACACACACACACACGCACACACACATGCACACACACCGGGGTCGTCGCAATATGCGTTTTCACATTTGCATATATTCCAGAACGCATAAAAACGTTCAATTCCTATCGATAAATTCGGTATTCACTGTGATGTTATGAAAAGAACGATTATTCCAGTTTGTTCGATGATTATTTTGTAAGTTCATTTGTATGAGGTGAGGCTCTTTTCGCTGCATTGATAGCATTTAATACATTTTCTGTGTCTGTACAGTGCAAAAACACATATTGTAGAGAGTTTATATGTATGTATGTGTGTATGTACTTATGTCTAAGTGCGTCTGCTGGTACATCTCGACCTCAAAACTTGTGAAAGCTGCTGAAGCTGGAATTTTAGCAACATCCTCTAGCACCACGTGCAAGTACCCAGCTTAAAATGAGCGGTCATGCCTTCCCAGCTCTGATGTACGGACGCGTGATAGACTTCTTGACGTGAGAACCATTTCGGGAACTCGACAAGCTGGAACGCTGAAAATTTATAAAGGCGTCCCCTGTCCAATTGTGACACAAAGAATTCAACAGGTATGTTAGGTTCTGTCATTAACTTGCCATTTTTTTGTCAAGTACTGCTTTACTGCGCACTAAAATCATTTTATTGTAAATGTCTGCTATCTTTCTGTGACAGAATTGAGCGAATGTCTGACGAGTGATACGGTTCCTGAATTACAGAATTTTTAATTCGGGAAGACACTGTACTCTTCTAATACAAAATAATACAAATGATAAAAAAGGTTGATGAAAACAAAACAGTCTGTGCCGCCATCACAGCACATTTTAATCAGTCCGACAATGAGCGAACTACAAGAAAATAATGGGAGAAAATGTAAACACTGTCAAGGAACGCAAATATTAAGCTTCGAACTTAAACAGACGAACATTTTTGGTAAGTCAAGAAAAAAAAAAAAAAAAACTATTGCGAACAAGCTCGATCACAGATAGATTTGCGTGGCACAAAATACGTTGAATTAGAAACAGGTAATTTACAGTAATATTTACAGAGACAGCAATAACAGACATTCAGCAAATGGAACTGTCAAACATCTATGGATCCTCTTTGCAAATTATACCTGTTATTCGCTGCGAAAATGACAACTAATAGGAGCATATTTGGTGAATACCAAGAGCTGAACTCGATTTTTTTCACTGAAGAGTTGAAAATATAACTTTTCGCCTTGAAAGGTTTTATCCACCCTTCTCGAATCACCTACCCTGTTTTGAATGAAATTTGTAATCAGACATGATAGAGAATCAGCAGCACTTTCCAGGCCATATTTCGTTAGTCGTCCACACTTCAATTTGTTATGTAGAAAAAATCCGGCATAATATACCGAACCTAGAGAAGTTGCCAGGCCGGGAAATTCCAATGCAACCAGAGCATGAAATCGTGGTAAAAAGAAATTGAAAACTGAAGCAGGAGCGTGTAGCTTTTGGATTGCAGTATTATGGATAGTAGTACGACTTTGGGAGATACTGGTGAGACAGATCAGGTTTTTGAGAGGCCGGTACTACATTTTCATCCGTATTTGCTACAAGTATGTGCTTGCGTACTTACGTTAATAAAGCATTAATTAACTCTTTGAAGGCTAACTGAGAAGTGAGGCTGAAGTGGGGAATGGGGCAGGAATGAGAAGTGCAGCAGGACAGGAAATGGATTTGACTAACCCTTACAAAAGCAATAAGCTCCAGCTGACGTCTGCGAAATTTATCGGGACAAGGGGGTGGGGTAGAGAAAAACCGTTGGGAAAAAACCAAAGTGACGCGTCAAACGAATTTCATCTTCAAGTAAAAATGCAAGAGGCTACCCGCACGAAGATGTGACATGGCCACACCAGATTATTGTCCACCATACTGGTCAGCAAAATCCGAAACTGTGGGACGCGGAGGAAACGTACCGTAGATCGCCTCTTGTTCACTTCCCTCCGCCACACCGTGCCAGCGCCTAGAAGCCATCACCGCTGCCCAGCGGGAACCAACCGCCCGGAACAAATCGACATTCGAAAATGACGTAACTGTGGCCACGTCACCGCTTATATACTGCACTTTACAGTGAGAAGCAAGTGGAAAATTCTGGGCGATGGAAAAAACTCGGCAGGGCAGAGAAATATCGTACTGCTTGGCTGCTTACTTTCCTTCGCGACCACGTTGCCTTTCTTTATGAACAGGATATGGCAGTGTTCGACTGCACTTCTTCCCCAATCCCCCTACCTTTATGTGAACCAAGCATCAGGACCACTATGCTGGACTGTACTTCCGGTGTGTGCAACTCCGCTGCCCCATTTTATGAGTGGCAGGATTTCGCCATACTTTATTACGCTTCTTCCAGTCTCTTCTTTATGAGTGGCGGAATACGATGATGCTCGACTGCACCTACATTTTCCGAGCTCGTATCAGCCTCTTCGCCTTTTGTGAGCTCACTGCCTATTACGAGTAGGGAATGTCGCCATACTCGACTACGCATTTTTTCGCAACCACACTGCCCTTTATTATGAGCATGGAATATCACAGTGCTTGACTGCCTACTTTCCTTTACTGAACAGGATATAGCAGTGTTAGACTGCGCTTTCTCCCCAATCCCACGCTCAACTGCACTTCTTGCGACTTTATGCCTATCTTTATGAGTCGTGGGATGTCCACATACTTGACTGCGCATTCCTTCACGATCATATTGCCTTATATTATTGGCAGCGGCATCTCATGATGCCGTGCTTAATGGCACATACCTTACTCCTGACCACACTGCCTTTCTTTACGAGAAAAGGAATGTAGCGATGCTGACTCCATCATTTTTTGCGATCCCTTTGCCCTTTCTCGTGGGTATCACAATACCGCCATGCTCGTCTGCGCTTTCCGCCTAATGCCATAATTATGAACAAGCGGATGAACTGCAGCTTCCCTCTCGACATCACTGACCTAAATTATGAGCAGCAGCGTAAGGTCATTTGGGACTGCGGTCCCCTTCTTTGTGACGCCACCATCCTCCACTGAGTAACGGACACTGTCAAGCTCGATTGCGCCTTCCTTCCCGACCTCTCCCTCCCTCTTGCCCTTTTTGTGTGCGGCGGGATAGTAATGCTCGACTGCGCTTTCGTATTTACACTTCCACTGCAAGCAGCGGGATATCGACTTGCTGGACTGCGCCTTCCCTTTATGTTACCCCGTCGCAACCAATCCCCGTGAACTTTTCTATGCTAAATAAATTGGCCGGATTAAGTTAACACAAATGTAGATTTCGCCAATTTAAAATCAAGAATGTTGGCAGACCCCTGGTTAATTCATAACAAATGTCGCCGTGCTCGACTGAGCTTGTGCCTTCTTTTCCTGAAATCCCGTTGTCCGTCATTAAGAAAAGCGGGCTAAGGCCATACTGAACCGCGCCTTTCTTCTTCGTGATCCCACTGAACAATGGGCTGTTGCTGCATAATTGACGGCGTTTAGTTGACGATGTAAATAGTAGAGGTTAAGTCTGGCATAAAACGTAAAAAGCAAACCACTGATACGTAGAACCCGATATTAACGCGAAAAATTCTGAACCACCAACTGGCAATTAGCCTTCTTCCTCGTTAACCTCAGTGCTCTTCACTAAGGGCAGTGAGATAACAGGACCTGACTTAGACTTTGGTCTGCTTTTATTCATTTTCACATATCTTCCTTCGTGATCCTCTGTTGTTCCACTCTTTTTCTTATCTCCAAGTTACTGCCTCTAAGCTTCCGAACGTCCTCGCTGCATACCATGAACTTCAAAGCAACAGAATGCGTTTCCCTACAAAAACAAGTGCATACTGCGAGTTTTTGTAGCTTCATCCCAACCCTCCAGTCTTCTTTACGAGCAATAGAAACATCGCTGTGCAAGACTGTGTCCTGCTTTCCCAGAGCCTCCAGCTCTTGAGAAAAACCCGCATTCTGTAAAATCCGCAAGTCTCCGGCCTCTAACAGTTCCTGCTCCAGAGGATTCGATAAAATCTACCGGCCAATTCCCACTTCCGACTTCACCGCTGAAACCTACAAAGACCATCATATGTGTTGTCTTTTGTCAAAAAGCTGAACCAATTTTCCCTCAAAAACGTTCAATTCTGTTATCGTTGGCCGTTGAGATGAGCACAAAGACTACTACGTATTCCATTGTGAACGTCCGGCTACAGGGCTGATCAACACCCCAACTCTTGAAAATGCCATATCGCACGAGAACAAACTGCTCGTTAACTGTAATCTCCAGTGAATCCGATACTAACAAATTTTTTATTCTGCCGCACCTGGCGATGTTCTGTGAGCCCTCTTTCCAATTTACGGCCAATTCCACTTTAATTCAAGTCTCAATGATGACCGGGACTTCGAGGTGGATATTTTATGCTTCAAAAAGACTAGATGGAGCACCAATATTCTTAATGATATTTTTGAAAATATGTGATAAAAAAAACGACTAATCATACAAATATTTCATTTTACTAATCATTTACACAACTTTTCCTGGCACAAACTAGAAAGAAGTTGTGTTAATAATTGGTAAAATGGAATAAAAAAAAGCAAAAACAAAAAAAAAAATTGGTAAACTGAAATTTAAAAAAGCTTCCCTGTGCTGACCAGTCTGTAACTTGTTAAAAATTAATTCTATAAATAAAGCAAAAATCCAGAAATGTAAATTTAAAACGCAAAAAATTAAAGTTTTAAAATTTAAAGAATTTAAGGAGGATTTCCCTATGCTGGCTAATTTGTATCTTGTTGAAAGTTAAGTCTGTATATAAAGCAAAAAAAAATTTCTTAAAGATTGAAAAAATTTAACAACGAAAATATAGAAGTGTAAATTTAAAAACGAAGATCCTAAAACTTTTAAGATTTAAGGAATTTAAGATAAAACTTAAAAGTTAAATTTAGAAAAAAAATTAACAGCATACTACTTCAGTTTTGACGTAAACTGCAAGTCATGCTTAAAGACCCCTGCTGCGGTTCCACTGTTTTTCAAACAAATATGTCGGGCCTGGCAGTGATCCGGGACCTTCCTAGCTCGCGTGGAAACAAAAATTTCAGGGAGGATTTCCCTGTACTGGCCAATCTGTATCATGGTTAAAAATTAAGTCTGTATATAAAGCAATACTTTCTACTGCAGCGCTACGAAAATTAGCTGAAAAATAACTAACAAGGTAAACCTTGATTTTTAAAAAAGTAACATTTGACGAGCTCGCTCTTCTTGCATCTTTCAACTCACCAAATATCTCCTCAATAACAACTCCTTGTAAATCAAAGTAAAGCAGAGACAGTGGCGCACCTCTTAGTCACAGGAACAAAATTTCATCACAGAATTTTTACAGTTTTGTACGGCAGCACGTGGCAGGAGTAGTCTTCCGGCTCACCAGTTTTCTGCAGGAAGCATCTCTGCTTTGGCTGAACTGAGTTTCGGCCCAGCATGCTGTAGTATGTACAAGGCTTATCGCCATATCCGGGAATGAGTAAATCGAAGAAAGCAGCGCCATCTTCCAATGCCGCTATGGAGTGAATATTACCACAGGAGGGGCTCAAGCAAACGCACTCATCACTGCTCCAGCGACTGAACTGCCCTTCGAATCTGCAACAATCTTTATTACTACTGGAACTGAATCTGCACTACTAATCCATGCCAACAATTTTCTTTTACTCTGCCCATACACTAGAAATTCCGGCCATTGATAACACTCACCTATTTATGAATGATATTGCTTAAAATGGTCGCAAGAGGAGTAGATGACCAGCCTCTCCCCTTCCGTCTTTTTTTTTTTTTTCAGTTTCAGATCCAGAACAACGCGGAATTTCATATATAGTTGCATTTGCGCTTGAAAAGATGAAAAATAAATCGAGCTGCAAAATTTCGGTATCCTAATTTTACTAACCAAAACGATTTTAAAAGCAATCCTCTCTGTCGAGCTTTGCAAACGACAACGCAAATTTCACAGTTTCGTACAAATCTAAGAGTACTCTTAGAAAATTTGAAATCATAGTCAAAAATCAAAAAATCATAAGCTATTTACGCTTTATGAGAAGCTGAGGCGCTTGAAAGTAGCCCGAGTGTTAGCACAAGTCAACAAAAACCATCCGATGGCATGGCTATCTACTGCTACTTCATTCGATGGTTACTTAAAAGTAAGCTGATGTAAGCAATCTTCAGCAACCGTCTACCATCTTCAGCAATTTCTCACCAACATATTTTCATACGACCAACAGCAGTTCTCAGAAGCGAGCCACTGACAACCCCGTAAGCGGATGGCTGCTGTCGGCGCGCGCTATTACTGGAGTGAATTTGGACGTTTTCGTTATAAAATATGTAGAATGTCGATCTCGGAAACAGAAAAGGGCAAATCGTGCGGCAAACAAAAAGTGGTACCAACCGGGCGGCAATAATATTTCTCAGTGCTGCATGAGAAGGCAATTCGGTGTACGAATTTACGGTTATTGCTCCGCGAATGACCTTCACAAAACCATAAATCCCCGGATGGTCATGCAGTGGCAGAACGAAATCACAGTCTTTGAAACCAAACAGGCACACATGCATGTACTCAGACTGATAAATATCCGCATAGTACATTGGCGATGTCATCGACTCCAAGCCTGAAAGTCGAAAACCACGTGAAAAGCGTGGCAACACGCAAAATGCGCTTGACAGTACATGGAAAACTTGCTCTCGGCTAAATGCCGAGTTGTTCATGTTCGAGAGCGTGAAAAACACATAACTACCGTAATGCAGAAGCAGGCGGGGGAGGAAACAAGCAAGAGAGAGGACTGATAAGTCGGGGAGGTATGAAAGCAAAAAAAATTACCCTTCCCGACCTTGCAAAACCCGTCAATTTTATGCAACATACGGATTATTTGACATTTCCATACTGCAACGATTGATAACCAAAATTCTTGGCAATCCCGAAGAAATTAGCTTCCAGAAAGATTTTGAAGGCGAAGCAAGGCAATAATCCGAGATAAGCATCCGCGCAAAAGAATGTAATTTTGAAATTATCCGGGACAACAAACTGTCCAGGCAACACATACCATGACGATTCGGAAGCACGACACCGAGCGTATCGACTGTAACCGTGGAGACCAGTTGGCGCGCCTGCTCCAGCAGCTTCTCGATTTCAGTAATACTGTCAGGTAGCTTTCTGAGTTGAAAAATTTTTTCCGAAATTGTTGACGCTTCGCGTAGCACGTGACGTAAACCATTTGACGGCATTGCCAACGAATAGTTCACGTTAGATGCGTTCCTGCGAAACGTTCAAACTGTAACGTTGCATTTATACAACAAGCATATCAAAAATGCCCGAACAGTGTGGCGATCTCATGCTAGCGATGTTTTGGCTCTCGCCTTATTTCCACTGCAAGATAAAACCATCCTTTTTCCCATACCCGATTTTCTGTTGATGGTTTTCCATCGTAAATGCCTTCTTTTTGACCGTGAAACTGGATTACCTTTCATACGAAAGCACACTTCTTGGCATCTAATGCATTTATATAGCAAGCACACCAGAAACACCTGAACAGTGTGGCAAAACTGTGTTACTGGCATGCTGCCAGAGGCCAGACACAGACAGTTACATAAGAACTCTGTCATCAAGCTTCATATCTGTCATTTCACATAATGATTTATTGCCTTTTGTTAAAAACTGCATAAGAAGCCGTTGTATCACTAAGATGCAACATCCCTGGTCACTGGTTCAATCTTTGGACACCCTGCCCCATTTAGAGTTATGCAATTTCCATGCGTTTTTTGCAGCTATGCAGTGCAAAAACGCATACTGTCGAGGGGTTGTCTGCGTGTGTGTGTGTCTGTGTGTGCATGCATGTGTGTGTATGTGTGTCTGTGTGTACGTTTGTAACGAGTTTTCATCTCGAGATCCACAAAAGCTACAAAGGTGAAAATTTGGTGACTTAATCTACATATACGTGCGGGCTAGTATCCTTAAAATGGACGCTCAGGTCCGCGTGGTTCTCACGTAGGGGCACGTAAAAGTTTTTTTGGCAGGAAAGCGTTTTCGGGAACGGCTCATGCTAGGAGGCTGGAATTTCACAGAGTTGTTCCATGGCCGTGTCTAATCCAGAGATTTCAAATTCAGCCTTCATGCACTCTCAGGTCTCACGTAAGCATACGTCAAAGTTCAAATTGGCATCATGCCAACTCCAGATTTAAGCTGACTAATAAGCTGCAGAGAGCTGCAATTTTGCAGTGTTACTTGTCGCCCACTGTTGTATCCGTGAAAATTACTTGTCAGCTGTTCTGCATCTCACGTACGAACACATGAAAATTTCACGCATGTGCTTTTGCAACTTCAGAATTGAACCAGCCAGAGGACCTGAACTTTCTGAGCATAACCGATGGTGGCCTTTGACCAGATGCACGCAAAAGCGACTTACACATCACTTCACGTCTCACGTACACACAGTTGAAATTTGACATAACTCCGCAACCAGAACAGCTGGAGTGCAGAAACTTTCTGAGCGTTACCCAGGTCCGTATTTGAGCAACCGCAGGCAAAGAAAGCACTCACGTTGCCACTCGTGTACGAGCACGTGGAATTTGACGTAGCTCTGCAACCAGAGCAGCTTAAGTACTGAAACTTTTTGAGCACTATCTAGGGCCGTTTTTAAGCAACCGCAAGCGAAGAAAGCATTCACGTTGCTACTCACTTACGAGCACCTGGAATTTGGCGTAACTCCGCAACCGAAGCATCCAGAGCGCTGATTTTTTTGGGCATGCATTGGGAGTCATTGTAGTAATTTCTAATACTCGTGGTGGCTAGTCACAATTCTTTTAGCTAGAAGCATCTGCCAGGAAGAGCGTGCCACTGGCGAAAAAACCTGCGGGGGAACTGTGCAAAAAACGCAACCCCGTACGCTTTCGACTAAGTTTGCAATTACGCAATGCGTAAAACGCATACTGCCGAGAGGTTTTCTGTGTGTGCGCAGGGCCTCTGTATTGATTTTTCATCTCGAGATCCACAAAAGCTACAGGGCTGGAACTTTGGGGACTTAATCTACTTGCACGTACGGGTTCTCATCCCCAAAATGGGCAGTCTTACCCGCGTGGCACCCACGTAAGAGCCCGCTAATGTTTTTCACGGGTAAGCTGCTAACTTGCGAACCAGAAAAGCTAGAAAGCTGAAATTTTAAGGGGATGTTCCCCATCCAAGTAAGTACTAATGAGCTCAAACCAAGCCCGCGGATAAGCGTGATACTCGCGTATGGGCCCGCCAAAATTTTTCCCGGGTAAGTTCATAACTCGAGGATCTGAGATGCTAGGAAGCTGAAATCTTAATAGGATGTTCCCCGTCCAAGCAGTTATTAATGAGCTCAAACCCAACCCCCGGATAAGCGTGGTACCCGTGTACGGGCTCGCAAAAATTTTTTTTTGGGTAGGTTGATAACTCGCAAACCAGGCAAGCTAGAAAGCTGAAATTTTGATGGAACGTTCCCCGTCCAAGTAGGTATAAATGAGCTCAAATCCAGCCCCTGGGCATGCGTGGTATCCGCGTAAGAGTCCGCCAAAATTTTTCCCGGGTAAGTTCATAACTTGGGGTCTGAGATGCTAGAAAACTGAAATCTTAAGGGGGTGTTCCCTGTCAAAGTAGGTATCAATGAGCTCAAACCCAGTACCCGGGTAATCGTGGTATCCGCGTACGAGCCCACCAAAGTTTTTTTTTGGGTAAGTTGATAACTCGCGAACCAGAAAAGCTAGAAAGCTTAGATTTTGAGGGGACGTTCCTCGTCCAAGTAGGTATTAATGGGCTCAAATCCAGCCCCCAGGCAAGCGTGGCACTCATGTATGGGCCCGCCAAGTTTTTTTCGGGTAAGTTGATAACTCA